GGATTCCTGCCCCATCCCCAGGGGCTAGGGCGGGGCCCCAAAGGGAACATTTACCAATATTTTCAAATTCTTATCCTTTGATGACATGACAAGTATTGTATTTCACTTAGTTTACATGCTGATTTCCACATCACATCTAAACAATAAAATAAAGCTACCAGTACCTATGATATAACTCAGGTGACCGCTAAGGCCCTTGGGCCTCTTGTTTACCTGTCCTGATGGATATTTTATCCGTAAAATATTCATCCCTTCAATTTTTACCAACACAGTTTACGTAAATACAAAAAATATTGACATTATTCAGTGATAAATCTACATGCGAGTAATAATTTATTACATATAACACTGGTTTGCCATAAGGTTTGAAGCACATGACAGGTCAAGTTGGCTGTGAGGTCCAGAACATTTGGCAGTGTTCGATATTGTTGATTTGTGCGCTGCAGCCTTCAGTGAAAGTATCGGGTGTCCATCCAAAATTTAGTGTTATATGTTTGTATTTGAAATGTAATGGAGACACCTTTAGGAAATCACCATTAATCTTTCAAACGAAAATTTGAAACAAACCTGCGATGGAAATGTTAGAATAGTGCTGTAATGCATATCTCATTTATTCCGATTTATTACCAGTGAAAACAAATTTTCGGAAAACAAACCTACCAGAGAGATGATGTGCCTTCGTATAGAATCGATCATGTAATACTTCTTGTATTGTCACGATTTTTTTATTTTTTTTAATTCAGATTGAAATCGCAAGAATATTCAGCGAGACTCCTATCCATCCTGGAAGGCCATTGTCGTATCAATGTCATACAGACGTACGACGTCACCACCAAGCAGATCAGGTAATCTTTCAACTGGAAGCTGACAATGACATCAATTGCCAATATAATCAATCTTGATTAAAAAGTGTACATGCCAGTATGAGAGCAGAGATAGATAAAAAAAACTGTTTGTCCTTTCATATCGGCAGGTTGAATACATACCTCTCAGTGCATCATTTGTTGTTGGAAACTTGATAAGGATAAAATATGTATAACCTGAATAGGAATAATCTGCAGTTTTTGTGTTGTGAGTCATATACACAGCTTCTTTGATACGAGTTCTGTCTGCAAGACGATTTAGCATTCTCTGGAATCAAGGGAGGTGGCACCCTGAAAGTCCTCTTGACTGGAAAGTTTCCAACACTGCAACATATCTCCAATAGACACTGGAGGAGGGTACATCCTTTTTACTTCACTTGGCACATGTGGGCTTATGTGATGACACAGTGTTCGTCGTTTGTACATCCGGCATTGACTTTTGTCTTTAAACGTCTCCTCAATAATAAACTACTTGGCCAGTAGCTCACTGTGATGATTTCTTTCAAGTATGTCCAAATTAATGACCTTGGCCAACTTTGAAAGTCCCATAAACAAAATAATTCAAAATCCTCCAACAAAGATCCATTAAGTGTAAAATATTGATATTTAACCTATAGTGTAGGCCTGCCAGCTATCAGGTTTGTTTAAATATATTAAACCTTTACTTACTTTGAAGGTCACATATGTGACGTGTGTTAACAACACTTAATAGCAGGTGACTGATGCAGGACCATTAGGTCTTTTATCCCTTGAATGATGTATTTGCTCTTTCAAATCTACATGTTGGCAGAAACTGAAGCGGAAGAATACTTTGTGTCGGTTTATGCAGGAACCAGTTAATTTTTATTCTAATTAACAAATTCACTATGAGGAATTACAGTTACCGGTATATATTTCTTAAAAAGGTCTTGTCTGTATTTCAATTCTCCAAAACAGTTTGAACTTTAATGTACAGTACAAACTGGATTACCCTATGAATTTGTATAATTTTGATGTTTCCTTCATCTTACATTGTTTCAACCTTGATTTGACAATGAATTATTACACAGCAATAATGATGATCAATATGAAACGTGTACATATTGACAGAAATATGAACCAATATTGCAGCTTACTCCTGAAAAACCTACAGAGGACAAAGAAAGTCGATCAGAACATCCGCAGTGTGAAGGACTGTCGTGTGAAGCTGAGTGAAAGAATAGGCAAGGTTGGTAGAATCTTTTCATCTTCATAATATCAAATCAAAGTTACTACAAAATCTTCATCATTATTCCTGGTATTATTAAGCCACGATCTCTTAACTACAAAGTTTTACCTGAAGCATGTCAAATCACCTGGTAATGTGGCGAAGGGTTAGTTCATTGACAAGAAAGTGAATGTTTGTTACTTAGATCTTTAGTCTGAAAAATTTTTCTCCATCTTCTGACATGCACATATTCTAAACCAACAAAAAAGAGAAAATGTTTGGTCTTTGAGCCACCGGCTAACAAAGAATATTTGAAATGGGCATTGTTTTATCTTTTTACCATGGTGAGCTTATGCCGTAACGCAGCGTCCGTCGTCTGTCGTCCGTCGTCCATCCGTCCGTCAACTTTTCCTTTAAAACGCTACTAGTCCTGAACGGCCAAGTAGATTTTGACTAAATTTGGTCGAGAGCATCCTTAGGCCAAGGGGACTAAATTTTGTATAAATGGTGGGTGTGGCCCCCCTTGGGGCAGAGGGGCAGGGCCCAATAGGGGAAATAGAGGTAAAACCTTTAAAATCCTTCTTCTACCATAGGGATTAAGGGATTTTATCCTAATTTAGTCTGGAGCATCCTTGGGCCAGGGGGACTCAATTTTGTATAAATGGTGGGTATGGCCCCCCTGGGGCGGGGCCCAATAGGGGAAACATATCAAATTATTCTTTAAAATCCTTCTTCTTTTGTAGGAATGAAAGGGTTTGGTCCATAATTGGTGTGGAGCATCCTTGGGTAAAGGGGAACCAATTTTGTATAAACCGTTGGTCTGGCCACACAGGGGCCTGAGGGGCAGGGCCCAATAGGGGAAATATAGCAAATTATTCTTTAAAATCCTTCATCTTTTGTAGGAATGAAAGGGTTCGGTCCATAATTGGTGTGGAGCATCCTTGGGTAAAGGGGAACAAATTTTGTATAAACCGTGGGTCTGGCCCCCCTAAGGGCTGAGGGGCGTGGCCCAATAGGGGAAATATAGCAAATTATTCTTTAAAATCCTTCTTCTTCTGTAGGAATGAAAGGGTTTGGTTCATATTTGGTGTGGAGCATCATTGGGTAAAGGGGAACCAATTTTGTATAAACCGTGGGTCTGGCCCCCCTAAGGGCTGAGGGGCGTGGCCCAATAGGAGAAATTAAGCAAATTCTTTAATATCTGTAGCATCCTTTGGCCAAGGGGACTCAATTTTGTATAAGCAGTGGGTGTGGTCTCCCAGGGGGCAGAAGGGCGGGGCCTAAAAGGAGAATTGGAGTTAAAACCTTTAAAATCCTTCTTCGACCGTCAGGATTAAGGGATTTTATTCTTATTTAGTCTGGAGCATCCTTGGGCCAAGGGGTCCCAATTTTGTATAAACAGTAGGTATGACCCCCCCTCAACTTTAACAAAATCCACATTTTGCTACCTGATTTTGCAGCAAATACCTCAGAAAATATCAAATTGTCATCAAATTATTTTCTTGATGTTTCTCCATGAGCTATGAAATTGATGATAATGTCTTCACAGATGGAAATTGAATGCAAGAAGATAGCTGACGAAGCCATAGAAATGACGCAGTGGTGCCTTAGAACCACTGCTCAAGGTGCAACAGCTATGCCCTTGCTTCCATATGAAACCTTGTCTACTGCCACTCCGTTCAGTTCCTTCAGCATGGAGAGAGTGTCTCTCAGGTACGTCTACAGCACATTCATTGTCATGGACTCGTAGGAGTCTAATCGGCAATACTACTGTCTATGTGTAACTTAATATCCATTCTCTTAGTGATTGAACGGCATTTAAAAAAAAAATATGCCAGTATGAAATTTAAAAAGGGCAGTTCAATCAATATATTTACATTTTAACTATAGAGCAATTGTTTGATTTTATTAATTTATTCTTAAATAATTGATTTATTTACTGCGTTTTGTATATGCGTCGTCCTTTAAGCGACATTGGCGGAACAGCCCTATTTTAATGAGATTGGCGCCAATAATTAACTGTAGTCATTTGAGCATTTGACTCCAGGGCATTCTCGCTGTTATTCGAAGCGAATGATTGATTGGTCAATAAAGTGATCTGCAATTGTATACTTCTCATTTGCGTATGATGCCTGGATGGTGATTGTGATTGTTCATGACTTCATTGACCAAAATTGATCCTGACATGTCATTAACTGATTGTTAATGATGTCATGAACAATAGCCCGACCCATGATCAATGTAGCTCCGCTGCGTTTAGCCGGTAAAGCTTAATTTGCGACCATATAATCAAGATATTCCGCCACAAATCTCCAAATACCCGAGGTTGATATCCTATCGAATGAAGTAGACTGTGTGGAGTGTATGGTCATTTTGATGACTCAAAAAATCTGCAATGTTTTTTCAATATTTTTTTTACAATAAACTCTTATAAATGTGTATGCTCAGTACTGAAAAGAATATTTTTACAATAATGCATGAACTTTGAAGTAGTTACTAGAACACTTCATAGTTTAAGTAATTCATGAAAAAGACAGCAATGACCAGGATCAATGACATCAGCCGAGTGTTTGCATGCTGGGGAAACATCACCTGGAATCACTCAAAATCGGGCAACAAAATGATAAGATTATGTAAGTACCTAGAAGTATTATTTATAACCACCTTAAATTACAGAGCCATGTCTTTGTAACGTGAACATCTGTCTGATTTTTTTTATCATGATTATAGCATGAAGTCACTGATCGACAGCAGGAGGGAGATTAATGATCTTATGGCACAAAGCAACTCCAGATTGGAAGAATCTAGTCACCTGATGAAATCACTGATACACCCGTAAGTATTAAACACTGCGACATAGGGAACAATAGGAACACCTATAGTTTTAGTTCTGAAAACATATCTGGCATTTTGTAGTTTCTAAAAAGTTGAAAGTCAGGTTTGGGAAAATTTAATGTTGAGGTAGCCTATAAATTAAAAAAGGCTGCTGCTTGGTAATTTTCCCAATACAAAAACAAAATCACTCAACGTACTTTTGAATATACTCTGATTATGTTCATGAATATTCTGTTCATGAATTTGCAATCGGTAAGTGTGAACAAGTGAACAGAAAACCTTCAGTGTAATTCAAGTTAAAATGTAAAATTCAAGATTTAAAGGTGGATCTTAAACCAATTGAATTTTGACGGCAAGAAGTGTGTCAAGTCAATTTGAGGAGATGACTTGCCGAACAGTGGTCAGGTAATTTATTAACAGGTACTTTATGACCATCATAGAGAAGTTTATATGCATGATAAGAAAGTGTCTCGGAATATACTGATTACAGTCAATTTGGTTCGTGAGTCGGATCTTTCAGAAATAACGGTTAAATATACAGATGAGTAAACTATTAAATGTAAGATTCCAGTTGAACTGGATTAAAATCTTTGAAAGATGTTCATTTTATTACCTTAATCTTGTCATGTTTATTTCTTGCCGGGTTTACAGGAAGAAAGCTGGACAACATGAAGATCCTGGTCCATCTGAAATGGGAACGTCTGACTTGAAAAAAGTCACATTTCAGCCAAGCATCCAAGCCACATCTGGTGACTATGAACACTAAGTCATAGCTGAGACGTTACCTGGTGGGAACTTCTGTACACAACATTGGGATTCGTAATCATGGTAACGCAGATGCTAATGGTCACCAGATTAATGGCTGGTGCAGTTTAATCTGGACAGCGGATTGGTCAAAGATCAGAATCTCTCGTCATTTCTTCATTATCCCGGTTCTACTGGTAATTCACTGCATCCAAATATACAATTCAGTGCTTACTACATTCAAATAGCACAGATTTGAAACCATTTAGGGTCATAGAACATACAATGATCTTGGTGATGAAGTATTCTTGTTCAAAGCTTCTGTGACAAAATGACTTAAGTTTTAATTAGTTTGAATTATCAAGAACACAAACATGCATTCAACATAATATTGCCTCATTTTGATCATGAAATTCAATATCTATCAAATCTGACCTAAATTAAGTGGTAAAGTAAAAGTTCCATCAAAGCTTGCCTAGATTAATGGTGAAGTGCATTATCTATTAAATTTGACTCAGTTTTAATGGTGATGTATGTTTTCCATCAAAGTTGACATTATTCAGTTGATGAATAACGGTCTAGGTACATATTGGAAATGCCTGTTCTTTTAAACTGGCAGGAACAATCTAAAGAAACAATCCTTAAATCAATAAAATCGTAAGAACTAGTTAAATTCATGAATATTGTGCAATATAAAAAAGCAAAATCATTATTCTGATTTTGGTAAAGGAATGCTTGTGAGGAAATCTCCCTACCAAATAACTCATTCACCCCTGAAGACACATTTTAACTTTTCCAATCTGAGATTGCAATAGTTTATTATTAAATTTCATGGGTGAATGAGTTAATCTCCCTACCAATGGGAGAGAAATCTCCCTAATACATGTTCTAAAGTCATAATAGGTGTGCACAATAAATATTTTATAGGATTTGTAGCATCAGACTTTTATCATAGGAAGGTAGTATATTTCTTTAAACAGTGGGAGCACGGGTTCAATGTTAAGATTCAGATAAATCGGTAATGTTGTACAGAAATTCATAACGCATTGTCAGGAAGCAAAGGGTGCCACGATAGGTAGTAGACGTTATTGTAAGGATTTTATGATATACCAACTTAATTAATCATCTTAATATGGCTTCTTATTTTGTTCTAAAGTGTTGTAACAAATTTTATCTTACATCATTTTGTATATAAGTTTTAACAAAAACATTTTTGATTTTATTAATTTAATTGATTGATATTGTTATCATTTCTGAATTGTTGGCTGAGCAAGTAAATGTACTTTTATGTTGTAAAGTGATACAGGTAGTGTAGAACAGCGGTTTGATTGTGGCGAAGGACTTCAATATATCCACACTAGATCCTTCCTTTACCAGGCATGCTAGCTGATAACTGCATGATTGAGATGTCAGCTGCCTGTAACAACTCGAAATATACATCCACCCAATCTCCTCCCAACCTGATCTCCCCCCCGCCCAAATTTAACGCCTTACCCCTATCCCTGACAGTCCCCAAATGTCCTCCTACATTAACCCCTTGTCCCTAGTGATCCCCAAACCCCTCCCATGTTTACCCTTGTCCCTTCTCAAAACAGCCCACAGACCCCTCCCATGTTTACCCTTGTCCCTTCTCAAAACAGCCCACAGACCCCTCCCATGTTTACCCTTGTCCCTTCTCAAAACAGCCCACAGACCCCTCCCATGTTAATTTACATAATTTTAATTATTTGAAATGCATGCAAATTAAACATTTTATCATAAGCAATGTTTTGCTTTGATACATTGATTGAACTCAGGTTTTCTGCTTGTGCTTATTGACTTTGAAGTATGTGTATAAATAGCTACCAAGGTGTTTGAAATTTCTTTCTTATATGACCCTAAGTAAAGGACCGTTTTTTAGGCAATGTCCCTGGTGAAACTTTTGAATAAAGTTGTAAACAAGGCCTACTTAGAGCTCCTTGCTACATATTTGTGATTGATATTGATATACTTATGTTTATTGTACCATGAATCAGGTTTTCTGACATACTTGTACAAATAGATACCTAATTATTTGAATTTTCTCTTTAACCCATTCACCTCTTAAGTCACATTTGACCTTTCCAAATCAAAAACTGGGCAAGACACATTTTAATATGTAGGGGGAATAAGTTAATATTCTGATAATAAAGGACCAGTTTCTAGACAAAGTCCCTGGTGAAAAAGTCGTAAACAATGCCTATTTTCAGTTCCTTGCTAAAAATATGCATTGCGACTAATATTGAATTGATAAACCTTGTACAAAATCTTACCATGGTGTATTTTATGAAACTGTGTTAGACAATTTGTGCTTATAGGAAAACAATTTTATAGACTAGGTTTGTTTAGATCAAGGGGACAGAGCTAATTCCCTTTCTCACTTGGGCAAAAGCTCAACACCCTAACCAAAACGATGTATTTACGTAGTAAGGCATTAGGAAATTAAAATAGTCAGAAAAGCAGAAAACTTAAGAATCTAGACTGTTGCAATAATTGCAACAGATGTATTTTCAAGCGAAGGGTACAAAAACAAATCCCTGATTCTACAGGGGATTTCCACATTAATTGTTACAACATGACAGTGGATAATGGCAGGTTTATTCTTTTCCCGGTCCCCAACCTGCAGGGTTTTGAATATGAGACAGTCTTGAAAAAAAAAGACATCAATGTAATCAAAATTTATCTTGAAAATAGGATAGTATAAATAAAATTTAAAAAAATTAACCCACTGATGTTTTAAAAAAAACACTATATAATCTTATTTGCAACATAAATTTGATAAAAAATGACTATTTTTCCCCCCAAGATGTACAATATGCATATAAAAAATTCTAAATTTAAAATTTACTGAAAAACAATGGCATTAGAATTTAGATGAATTATTATTAATTTACAAAAAATAATATGTAGCTTATTTTCAATTTATAAGGATACTTTATCACCAAGATTGAATTTGAATCTGTGTCTCTTTGAATGTAAATAAGCACTACAAATGTGATATATAGTGAACCGCAGGTAACCAGCTTTTTCTTCGGGCAAGGATGATGCCGATTCTCAGCAACCCTCAATCACGTCAACAGCTTGTGTGGTCAGAAGAGGCTTTACAGTAAAGTATGAAAGGAGCGGTAACACAACTTTATTTTCACCGCTGGAATGCACACCACCCTAGATAATGATCGTGAGGAGAGATTGTGTTGTAATTATACAGAGTATGATCAGTCTATCCCTTTTCTCCTGAACCAGCCTTTAGTCAGGACGCTTAACACAACAGATATCCTGGATTATTTCCTGAAAAAATTGTGAAGAAGAATTTTCGTGACAGTAACACCATCAAGTGACAAATGCTTGGATGACATCACTGTTAAGGCAATAGTATTTGAAACCTGAGTTAAAATATCCCTAAGCTATGGGGAAAGGTACCTGATCATAGATATACTACCACATATATCTGATCTTTCCTTGACCTAGAATTATGGAAGTCTGTATTTGATCAATTACCAACTTCACTAACAAATTCGAAGAAGAAAATGAAAAAAAAAATCAAAGATTAAAAAATAAAATCTATTGGTAGTATCAGGAGGGGGAAAAACGTTTTTTATTGTAAATGAGGAACATCCAAAGAAAAGGTGTGAAAAAAAATCCAGATAAGCGTGAAATTATTTCACACGGAGTGAGGCATCAGATCGAATGTGTTGTTATGTATATTTCCATGGGAAAATACCGTTCATTGTGTGCACATTTCTGTGCTAATTCCTGAAGGTCTTCACATTTCTGGGAATGTAGATCCAGATTGACCTTACAGCCGGTTGGGTACCGGTTACAACTTCCTACTACAAGTTCCAACAAGGATTCGTCTCAGTTTGATCGAGTGACTTATTATAAATATGAAGCTGTCATTGATAATGACAATGTTTAAACAGCTTATGTCTAATATTATATGTTCCATAAATATTGCTCTGAGCTTTTCCGGGATACCTACAAACTGCAGTTTGCAACTGCGGTTTGATGTTATGAATATATATTGTATAAATAAATACATTGTATTTTGCAAGCCAATTTTTGAACTTTTTTAATCTTGATTGATCATTTCTTGCAGTTTGTCAGGTTAAAGCAGCTTTACATCTAACATTTTGAACATTTTGGTCCATCAGCATACAATTTATAGTACTATGCATTTTAAAATTTTCTAAATGTTTTTCGTGCTGCCTGGCCCTACACAAATGACCAAAAATACTTGCTTACCAATCAGTTTTGACTGTTAACTTAAGTCAAAAGAAAACAGTTCAAATCTTGGCTTTTTAAACATGTGTGTTATTGGCCAAATATAAAATATGTCTGTTGCCTCCTTGTATTTTACTAGATTGTCTTGGAATGGTCTTGAAACCAGACATATTTTAAATTTGGCCTTTTTTATTTGCAGGATTTGAGTCGGCTTCCTATAATGATAGCTGTACCCTTTACCACCAAACAATTACTTTGGTAGGCATGACAAGTTTACAACCGTCTTGTTAGTCATGAAATATCATGACAGAAATAGCAGAAACTTACAGGCTGAATACCAATGTGAATGTTGGATTTTCATGTGAATAAGCCTTGAGCATATTGTCATTGATTTTTTTTTATCGACCATTCGGATCCTACAGGAGTGGATTGGTTCAGTACGTAATTTAGAAAGCTGAGGCCTTCCAGAGAGATGGTTTGTGTGATTGTTTTTGATTGCTATCCTGTCATAGGACTCTTCAAGGCTCCTTACCGGTATATTCCCTAAGGTAAGACTCTAAAATCATAGTGGACTCTGTTGGTGATAAAATCTACGTAGAAGGAATATTTCAAAAGAAGTGAATTAAACAGATTGAGCAAACAATGAAAGAAAACGTCTTTAATGCTCATTATCAATATATTCCCATGAATAGGGCTCTTAAGTAATAGGTCCTGTGTCTTCATAGACGCAAAAATGATGCTGCAGTTATACACAGTCTACGCGGGACTAAGATATTAGGTAAATTATGAAAAGCGTTTATGCTTGTTATTATAAGGCTCTAAAATCATAGTTATGCTTGTTATCATAAATGCCAAGACTTAATTCACGTAAAGAAAACCTCTGTCGAGGACACTTTTGCACTAACCTAAACATATAAGCGAAGCAAGCAACCTAATTATATTCGGAAGATATGTTGCTTGAAACATTGATTGCGGGTTGAGCGTTTGTCATAATATATCTTTGTGTGGTTGAGCGTTTGTCATGATATATCTTTGTGTGGTTGAGCGTTTGTCATGGGATATCTTTGTGTGGTTGAGAGTTTGTCATGATAAATCTTTGTGTGGTTGAGCGTTTGTTATGGTATATCTTTGTGTGGTTGATCGTTTGTCATGATATATCTTTCTGTGGTTGAGCGTTTGTCATGGTATATCTGTGTGTGGTTGAGCGTTTGTTATGATATATCTGTGTGTGGTTGAGTATTTGTCATGGTATATCTTTGTGTGGTTGAGCCTTTGTCATGATATATCTTTCTGTGGTTGAGCGTTTGTCATGGGATATCTTTGTGTGGTTGAGCGTTTGTCATGATATATCTGTGTGTGGTTAGGCGTTTGTCATGATATATCTTTGTGTGGTTGAGCGTTTGTCATGGTAAATCTTTGTGTGGTTGAACGTTTGTCATGATATATCTTTTTGTGGTTGAGCGTTTGTCATGATATATCTGTGTGTGGTTGAGCGTTTGTCATGGTAAATCTTTGTGTGGTTAAGCGTTTGTCATGATATATCTTTGTGTGGTTGAGCGTTTGTCATGATATATCTGTGTGTGGTTGAGTATTTGTCATGGTATATCTTTGTGTGGTTGAGCGGTTGTCATGATATATCTTTGTGTGGTTGAGCGTTTGTTATGGTATATCTTTGTGTGGTTGAGCATTTGTCATGATATATCTTTTTGTGGTTGAGCGTTTGTCGTGATATATCTGTGTGTGGTTGAGCGTTTGTCATGGTATATCTTTGTGCGGTTGAGCATTTGTCATGATATATCTTTGTGTGGTTGAGCGGTTGTCATGATATATCTTTGTGTGGTTAAGCGTTTGTCATGGTATATCTTTGTGTGGTTGAGCATTTGTCGTGATATATCTTTGTGTGGTTGAGCGTTTGTCATGATATGTCTGTGTGTGGTTGAGCGTTTGTCATGGTAAATCTTTGTGTGGTTGAGCGTTTGTCATGATATATTTTTGTGTGGTTGAGCTTTTGTCATGATATTTCTGTGTGTGGTTGAGCGTTTGTCATGATATATTTTTGTGTGGTTGAGCTTTTGTCATGATATTTCTGTGTGTGGTTGAGCGTTTGTCATGATATATCTTTGCGTGGTTGAGCGTTTGTCATGATATATCTTTGTGTGGCTGAGCGTTTGTCATGATATATCTGTGTGTGGTTAGGCGTTTGTCATGATATATCTGTGTGTGGTTGAGTGTTTGTCATGATATATCTTTGTGTGGTTGAGCGTTTGTCATGGTAAATCTTTGTGTGGTTGAACGTTTGTCATGATATATCTTTTTGTGGTTGAGCGTTTGTCATGATATATCTGTGTGTGGTTGAGCGTTTGTCATGATATATTTGTGTGAGAGGAGGGTGATGGAATGAGAAATAGGTTAAAACTAGGGCTTAAGAGAGCTTTCTTTGAATGTCTGGTTTGTTTTTATACACCCGTCAAATGACCATTGCCATGAACAAGTTCGATAACCAAAATTATTTACCTGTTATTAAGGGAGTTATGGCCCTTTATAGAATTGACGTACCACTTTCCGCTCAATAACTTTAGAAATTATTATTATCATTAACTTGTGTAATGTCATAGGGAAACTCATAAAAGAATATTTAAATGCCTTTCGGGGAAGAACGACTCTTTAACCTGACCAACTATCATCAAATTTATTTAAATTTGACATTTAGTAGTTTATCTTCATTATCATACCAAGAATGAAAGGCTCGTTTTCGTCTCTTCCTCATTACTTTTATGTACATGGACTGATATTTTACAATGATTATCCTGGTCAATATATTAAATAGAAATGTCAAGTTATAACCGATGGGTGTAAATAAACAAGGCTACTTAATTGTTGCGAATATTCTTGCAAAAATTTAAATCTATTCAGTGTTTTGTGACCAGATGTTGTTGCAAAATGTATGTGGTTTGTTTGTATGCTAATTACTCAACCATGATGGTTTGCAAAATCAGCATATAACGAAAGGTTCTGCTAAATTTGAATAATTTTTGTGAACACCCGATTTATACAGATTTGGAATATCTCTGATACTTGATACTTTCCGCTAAGGTGAAAAACGAATCAGAATGAACTAAAGAAAAAATGAAGAAACACGTATTAACACCAGATCAATTCCCAACTTAGACTGTTTGGTATTTTCAAAGATATTTTGGCACACATTTGGGAAAATAACTGTTTATAATTAAAGGATATCAAAATATTCACATAAGCAAGCATGTCAAGAATGGAGTAAACCAAGCACCCCTTTTGTTATCTGCAAAATGATAGCTCCACGTAGCAGCATTTCTCGCAGTCTCCCTTTCACGGACGACTGACGTACTGTGAAGAAGTGTTGACCGTTAAGTTTTAAGATCTGTGAATTCTTCTCAAGATTTACATTATATACTAATTTGTTAACAACTAATCCGTTAAAACCAAAAGTGTTAAAGTAACGTTATAAAATAAGTAATAGCCCTGTTTCCGTCTATAGATGTTACATATAGATAGGAACAAGGAATTTTTCAATCTTTATTTTAAGAACCAACAGAAGTCCTGAAGGAATAGACCTGCCTTATGATGCAGTAAATGTATATATCGTTTGGCTATCTGCATCAATCTACTTATTTTTTAAATGGAGGATTCCTTCCATCGTATTTGAGTGATTAATTTCTGTGATCTGTGCAGTGCTGTAGGAAATCTATTACAGAACGTACATTATAGGTGATAAGTCAACCCATATAAAATCAGTTTTGTCATACTGAGAATTATTGTGTTGGTAATACATGTATATGCTAAATGCATATAATGTGTTCTTCCAGTTTGATGCTTTAAAGAGGTTTTTTTATGTTAGTAATAGCCTAAATTTCTAAGCAAACACTTTTTCAGAGATTGATATATTTTTATAAAACAAATTTACTGCTTTTTACATTTTTTGTTGATTAAACATGTATATGAAAGGTTACTAATCGTACAAATTTATGCGTACGATTAATATAGTATCAGTCATTTATGTGACTTTCGCTGTGCAAAGTGTTTGTTTATTGTTTACTGTGTAACCTTGCAGAGCACTTATTTCAAATCATGTGTGAAACAAGTTTGCCACATAGGTGACCATTTTTTGCTCAACTGCCCAAAGGTCTGTCGTCCGTCGTCGTCCATCAACTTTTCCTTTAAACATCTTCTTCTGAAGAACCGGACAGGTCCAGAGTCATGATATTTAGCTATAATCTTCTTTGGTAGAAGCTCAACAAAGTTTGAGAACCAAATATCCTGGGATAGAGTCCAACACACTTTGAGAATGAAAAATGACTTTGACCTACTTTCAAGGTCACAGCGATCAAATATGTCAAACTCTTCAAACAACTTCTTCCGAAGAACCTAAAGGTATAGTATCTTCATATTTGGCTGGTAGCTTCTTAAGGTGGATCCCAATAAAGTTTGCGAGTGAAAATTACCTTGACCTTTTCCTAAAACATTTCAAGCAACTTATGAGGAACTGAAAAGTATAGAATCTTAATATTTGCTGGTAACTTCTTTAGATAGAGCCTGACAAAGTTTGCGAATTAAAATTACCTTGACCTACTTTCAGGGTCACAGGGTTCAATTCTGTCAAAAACATCAAACAACTTCTGATGAATAATCGAAAGGCATAGAATCATAATATTTGGCTGGTGGCTTCTTGGGATAGAGCTTACCAAAGTTTGCAAATGAAAATGACCTCAACCCACTTTAAAGGTCAAAGGGGAAAATATGTCAAACACTTCAAACAATTTCTAAAGAAGAGCCAAAAAGCATAGAATCATATGA